CCTTTCCCCCCCTTCCCCCACAAGACTGAGTTTCCAGCATGACCATCCCCCAGATGGTGCACATCTCACTCATTATGTATGTATATACCACCCCCCTCCCCCCTGCCCAATACCCTATTACTGTAGTACCTATGTGACCACTTAGGCGATGCTCACTTAATACCAGTTTGCTAGTGAGTATATGTGGTGCTTGTTTTTCCATTCTTGGGATACTTACTTCACTTAGTAGTATGGGTTCCAGCTCTAACCAGGAAAATATAAGATGTGCTATGTCACCATTGTTTCTTAGAGCTGAATAGTACTCCATGGTATACATATACCACATTTATTAATCCATTCTTGGATTGATGGGCACTTGGGCTGTTTCCACAGCCTTGCAATTATGAATTGTGCTGCTATAAACATTCGAGTTGTCTTTTTTGTAGAGTGTCATTGGATCTTTTGGGTAGATGCCCAGCAATGGGATTGCTGGATCAAATGGTAGATTCACTTGTATCGCTTTAAAGTTATGTTAAACACATACTATTTTGTGTATATACACACAAATCTGAATATACTCACGTATCTTTATATGTGGATAAACTTGTGTGTGTGCAAATAAGTAAAGGACATGCAAGGTTACACATCACAGACTGTTCAAAGTAAGTCCCTCAGGGCAAAAGGGTGGGGATTGAGATTAGGCATAGTGCTCCTAGGAGACTTCAGCATTACTAAAAATGTTTAATTTTTAATAAGAATTTTTACTGGGTAATTAAAAATCAGTTCCTTTTAAAATTCCAATCAAATTCCCATCAGGATTTTGATGGAATAATAAGCTAATTATATTAAATGAAAAGAAAGGGAAAAGACAGTGACAGAGATGGGCAGGGAGACAAAAGGAAAATACAGGTAGCTAGAGGCACAGGAGACTCTGCCACTGAGCAGCCATATGTGCTTAGGTCAGAATATTCAAGAAAAATATTTAAAAAGGAAAACATCAAAACATATCATAAAACTATCATGATTAAAACAATATAAGTCAGACATGGTGGTGTGCACCTATAGTCTTAGCTACCTGGGAGGCTGAGGCAGGAGGATTGCTTGAGCCCAGGAGTTAGAGGTTGTAGTGAGTTATGATTGTGCCACTGCACTCCAGCCTGGGTGACAGAATGAGACCTCACCTCTGAATGAATGAATGAATGCACTCTTGCCAGAACCCGTGGCTCAATGCCTATAATCCTAGCACTCTGGGAGGCTGATGTCAGAGGATAGTTTGAGATTAGGAGTTTGAGACTAGCCTGAGCAAGAGTGAGACCCCATCTCTACAAAAAATAGAAAAATTAGTCAGCTGTGGTGGTGCAGGCCTGTAGTCTCAGCTACCTGGGAGGCTGAGGTGCAGGGATTGCTTGAGCCCAGGAGTTTGAGGTTGCTGTGAGCTATGATGCCACTGCTCTCTAGCCAGGGCAACAGAGTGACACTCTGTCTCAAAACAAAACAAAAAAACTCTCACAGAACTAGCTTAGGGTTTCATAAAGAGATCAGTGTAAGAGAATCAGGAATTCAAAAGCAGACTTGCATATATGCAGGAATTTGGGAAATAAGGCAGCTAGCTGCTAAAAGCAGTAGGAAAAGAATGCACTCATCAATAACTGGAAAGTTGATTCTCTTTAACAAGATAACTTTTAAAATGTATTTCTGCTAAACTGATAGGTATCTGTGTCTCTGCTTTATTCACATTTCTCTCTGTTCTTGTGCAGTTGGGGTTTTCTCTATATGTTTATCAGCTGTGCAGATAAAGATTTCTGTACTGAAATAGTGCTACTGTGTCTATTTTACAGGTGAGGAAAACAAGGCCTGGGGAACTAGTTAAGTGACTGCCCTAAGCACATATGGCTGCTCAGTGGCAGAGGCTCCTGTGTCTCTGGCTACCTATATTTTCCAGTTTGTCTCCATGCCCAACTGTCACTATCTTTCCCTCCAATCTTTGTTTCTCTCTCTCTCCGTCTGCCTCTTTTCTCAAGGTTGCTAATCTTAACAAGCCCAAAATGTACTGTCAAATGGCTGAGAACAAGGGTGCTGGAGCCAATTCAGCCACTACCTGGGTTCAAATCCTGTTCTTCCTGCCAGGCACAGTGGCTCACGCCTGTAATCCTAGCTCTGAGAGGCCAAGGCGGGAGGATCGTTTGAGGTCAGGAGTTTGAGACCAGCCTGAGCAAGAGCGAGACCCCGTCTCTACTAAAAATAGAAATAAATTAGCCCAACAACTAAAAATATATAGAAAAAATTAGCTTGGCATGGTGGTGCATGCCTGTAGTCCCAGGTACTCCAGAGGCTGAGGCAGGAGGACTGCTTGAGCCCAGGAGTTTGAGGTTGCTGTGAGCTAGGCTGATGCTACAGCACTCTTGCCTGGACAATAGAGCAAGACTCTGTCTCAAAAAAAGAAAAAAAAAATTCTGTTCCTCTATTTACTGTCTGTATGATTTGGACAACTTCTGTCACGTCTCTCAGCCTCAGTTTCCTCATCTATAACATGGAGAAAAGATCATCCCTACCCTGTAGGATTATTTTGAAAATTCAATGAAAAAAATTATGTACATAAAATGACCCCAAGCATTCAATACATGTTAGCTATTTATATGTTATTATGACATCAGTAAAAGTGCCTCAGTCAGCCCAAATGGGCATGTGAGCTCCCTAGGCTGAAATGGAAGACAAGAACCATATCTCCCACTTCACAAATTTATTTATGTATTTATTTATTTATTTATTTAGAGACAGAGTCTCACTCTGTTGCCTGGGCTAGAGTGCTGTGGCATCAGCCTAGCTCACAGCAACCTCAAACTCCTGGGTTCAAGCTATCCTCCTGCCTCAGTCTCCCAAGTAGCTGTGACTACAGGCATGTGCCACCATACCTGGCTAATTTTTTCTATATATTTTTAGTTATCAATTAATTTCTTTCTATTTTTAGTAGAGACAGGGTCTTGCTCAGGCTGGTTTTGAACTCCTGATCTTGAGCAATCCTCCCACCTCGGCCTCCCAGAGTGCTAGGATTACAGGCGTGAGCCACCATGCCTGGCCTACTTCACAATTTTTATTTTAAAAAATTTTAAACCAGGCCGGGCGCTGTGGCTCACGCCTGTAATCCTAGCTCTTGGGAGGCTGAGGCGGGCGGATTGCTCAAGGTCAGGAGTTCAAAACCAGCCTGAGCAAGAGCGAGACCCCGTCTCTACTATAAATAGAAAGAAATCAATTGGCCAATTGATATTATATAAAAATTAGCCGGGCATGGTGGCACATGCCTGTAGTCCCAGCTACCAGGGAGGCTGAGGCAGAAGAGATTGCTCTGAGCCAGGAGTTTGAGTTGCTGTGAGCTAGGTGACGCACGGCACTCACTCTAGCCTGGGAACAAAGCGAGACTCTGTTCAAAAAAAAAAAAAAAAAAAAAAAAAATTTTAAACCTACAACAAAATTAAAAGAAGAATACATTGAAAATCTATACATCCTTCATCTAGATCCCTTATTAACATTTTTGCCACATTTGCTTCATCTCATTCTTTTTGTATATAAACATATTATTATTTTTGCCAAATTATTTGCAGACATCATGACACTTCACCCTTTCATATTTTACTGTGTTTTCCCCAAGAACAGGTGCATTTTCCTTTAATTGCCATTATACCATTAACACACTGCTATAGTTGGAACATGTCTCCCAAAATTCACATGTTGAAACTTAATCACCAATGTGATAGTATTAAGAAGTGAAGCCTCTGGGAAGTGATTAAGTTATGAGGGCAGAGCCTTCATAGATGGGGTTAGGGCCCTTATAAAAGGGCTTGAGAGAATGGGTTTGCTCTCTTTTGTTCTTTTTTTTTTTTTTTTTTTTTGAGACAGAGTCTTACTTTGTTGCCCAGGCTAGAGTGAATGCTGTGGTGTCAGCCTAGCTCACAGCAACCTCAAACTCCTGGACTCAAGCAATCCTGCTGCCTCAGCCTCCCGAGTAGCTGGGACTATAGGCATGCACCTCCATGCCCGGCTAATTTTTTCTATATATAATTTTAGTTGGTCAATTAATTTCTTTCTATTTTTAGTAGAGACGGGGTCTCGCTCAGGCTGGTTTTGAACTCCTGACCTTGAGCAATCCTCCCACCTCGGCCTCCCAGAGTGCTAGGATTACAGGCGTGAGCCACTTCGCCCAGCCTCTTTTGTTCTTTTACCAGGTGAGGATGAAGCAAGAAGGCCTTCATCAGACATACAACCTGCCAGTGCCTTGATCTTGGACTTCCCACCCTCCAGAACTGTTAGAAATAAATATATATTCTTTATAAATTACCCAGTCTGTGGTATTCTGTTATAGCAGCACAAACAGACTAAGACATACGCCCAGGAAATTTAACACTGATACAATATTATTATCTAATGTATGGTCCATAACCAAATTTTAGGGACCATGTCTTAATTTATCTGTGTGCTCATGGGGACCAGAATAGCCAAGAATGAAGGAACAAAGAGAAGAAGTGGCTGAGAGATGAACGGAAAAAATCAATGAGGGAACAACGGCACAAACAAATATGGGTATAGGATGAATGAATGAATAAACACAATTACCATTATTATAATAAGCATTGTTATGTTTAGATATTATAACTAAAATATACACAAATACAGCTATATATTGTTGCATTATAATTATAACATATGTTACTAGGTTATATGCTATAATAGTACAATACAATATAGTTATCATTATTAGAGCTCACACTTTTTGAGCATTCACTATGCAGTCATGTACTGTTCCAGACATTTTATATGAACTTCCCTATTTAATCCTCACAGTGGCCCTAAGATATTATCTCTACTTTAGACCTGAAAAAACTGGGGCGAAATGGCTGAGCCAGGATCTAGACCTAGGATACCTTGCTGCCCAGCCCACTGTGAGGGAGTGTATTGCAAGGGGCAGAGTCACTTTATGGGGAAAAGGTAGGTCCCAGAGCAGTACCCCTGGGGCATTGGGTACTCACTGTCTTCCGAAGGCCGAATGTCTATACGCAACTGCAGGTAAGGTTTGGAGGCAGTGGCAAAGGCTGTGCTGAGGTCCCAGTCAGACAAAAGTGAGAGGTAAGCTTCCTGTCCTAGTCGGTCCCGGCCAAGGTAGCTGATGCCAAAGTTCTTCTTCCTGGACAGAAGATACCAGGGAGTTCTCAGGGCTCTCAGTTCCCTGGAGGCCTCAGGGACAGTTTCCAATACAAGGGGTATATAAGGTGTTGAAAACAACTTCCTACTATGTGCTGGGTACTGTGCCAAGGAGGTGGGCAGCCTGAGGTCAGGTCATTTATACCCACTTTGTTACACAAACACAGAAATAGATACACACCTGCTTGTATCTGGAGGGCACATTGGAAACTGGTAAAATGTTGGTCCCCTCTGGGGACAGTAACAGGATAGTTGAGGGATAGAAGTGAGAAGAAAGCAGCTTTCTTACTACATAAAAATAAAGCGAGTGTTTGTTATTTTTCACACAAAAAATGTTTATGCAAAAAAGTCAAATAACTAAGAATTTATTCTTCACATATACTTGTGCAACTATGCAAAGTATGTTGTGTGATAATCACTGTAACCATGGAAACATCCCAAATACCCATCAATTTTGTACTGTTTGAATTTGTTACCATGTGCATGTATTCCTCCAAAATAACAATTACTACAAAATAACCATCACACCAGACCCCAGGAGACACACTTTTTAGCTATCAGGTTGGCAAATTTTGCAAAGTTATGTAACCAGTGTTTGGGAGGGTGTGGGTGAAATAGGCATTTTATATGCTGCTGGTGAGATTATAAATCGGTAAAACCTTTCTGGAGAGCATGTTGTAACCATTCATTGATAGTTTAAAAAGCACACACCCTTTAACCCAGCAATACCACTGCCAGGAATTATCTCATGACTAGAATTTCCCAAATACAGTAGTCCCCCATTATCCACAGGGGATAGATTCCAAGACCTCAGTGGTACCTGAAACTGTAGATAGTACTGAACCCTATACACACTGTTTTTTTTCCAGTATATACATACCTATGACAAAGTTTAATTTATAAATTAGACACAGTAAGAGATTAAAAACAATAATAATAAAATAGAACAATTAAAACAATACAGATGCTCCTCGACTTATGCTGGGGCTTTGTCTCTATAAACCTACTGTAAGTTGAAAATATCATTAAGTAGAAAATGCATTTAATACACCTAGCCTACCAAACATCATAGCCTAGCCTAGCCTATGTTAAACATGCTCAGAACACTTACATTAGCCTACAGTTGGGCGAGATCACCTAACACAAAGCTTATTTTATAATAAAGTATTGAATATCTCATGTAATTTATTGAATACTGTACTGAAAGTGAAAACAGAATGGTTATAAGGGTACTTGAAGCATGGTGCTGAATACATATTTCTTTGCACCATCATAAAGTTGAAAAATCTTAAGTCCAACTATTGTAAGTTAGGGACCATCTGTATACTGTAATAAAAGTTACATGAATGTGGCCTCTATCTCTCAAAATATCTTATTGTATGTAAGATTTTCAGACTGCAGTTGACTATGGGTAACTGAAAAATGCAGAAAGTGAAACCCTGGAAAAGGCACCACTACTGTACCCTAAGATATGCATTTGTGGCTGCTCACTGTGGGATTATTTGTAACAGTAAAATAAACAAACAAAACCCCTACCAAACAAACAAGGCCAGAAAACCACTGTTGTGTGGTCCACTGGCTAGTCCCCAGCATCTTCTCACTTACCCGTTCAAATCAAAAGCTCGGATGAGGATGTGCTGTAACACGTCCAATGAGGTGATCTGGGGGTCTACAGCAAAAGATCGGAACTCATGTGGCAAGATGCTCTCACATTTCTGGGGAAAGAAGACACAGGGTAGGCCATCAGGGGCCACATCACCACGCTGAAGAGTGAATGAGGTCCAGAGTGGTAGAAGGCAGGGTCAGAGAGCAGGCGGGGCCAGATTTAGGTAGGCATTCTGGGCCATGTCAAGGACTTTGTTTTTTGCTCTGAGTGAGGGGGAGCCACAGAAGGTTTCTGAGCAGAAGCAGGACATGGCCTGAATTAGGATTTAACAGGATCCTTCTGGCTACTCTGCAAAGAACAGACTGTGAGGCACCAGGGTAGAAGAAAGGGATCCAGTGAGGAAGAGGCTACTGCAATAGTCCAGGTCCCTAGTCCTTCTTCTGTGTCCTCTCAATTATGGTTGTCAGAATCACTATGTCCAGTCTGGTTCCTACTGAATCTGTCCTGCATGTTGCAACCAATCCAGCACATCTACCTACAACATCCCCTGCTTAAATCTCTTCAATGGCAACCCTAGGGTCCCCAGCAGGTGGGCCTATAGGGCCCTAGCCAGCCTCTCCAGTTTTTTTGAACTTTACACTCTGGTAGAACCAAACCGTTGAAAGTTACCTTGAACACATCCTGACTCCAGGCCTTTGCTTGTGCGGATCATCCTTCCCACTTTTTTCATCTGGTTCACTCACAGCTCAGGCATCATCTTTTTTCTGAATTCCCAAACCTCTACCTTAGAGATCAAGTGGTCTGCTGACTCTCTTCTCATGACTGCCAGTAAGTAACACTACTCTAGTCTGAGCCATCATCATTGCTTGCTGGAACTATTGCAATGGCTTTCTTCCTCTGAGTACACACTAAAGGCCCTTCTCCATCTGCCCCCTCTTACCTCTCTGACTCACCTCCTTCCACGCTCTCCCTCCCTCTCTCTGCTTTAGCAATATGGGAACCTACAGAGGAACATGCCAAGCTCATCCCCACCACCTAGCCTTTGCCCTTGCTGTTCCCTCTGCCTAGAAGGAAGAGGTATATGATATGATATGCACATGACTGACTTCCCCTGATATGCACATGACTGACTCCTTTTTATTTGGGTCTCTACTCCTTCAATACCCCCTCTGGAAATTTCCAGGTACAACCTTGGCTAAAGTAACTCCCTAGTTTATAACCGTTTTCATTACTTCCTCATGGCATTCACCAGTGTCTGAAGCATCTCATTTATTTAGCTGTTTGTCTCTTCTAAGGAACATGTCAACTCACCAATGGTGGGGATCGCACAAAAGTGCATTCCCAACACATATGTGTTGACTGACTTCAGAGCCCCCCTTTCAGACAGCAACAGCACAGACCTCACTCCTCAGGGCCCCACCCTCAACTGCTGCAGCCCCTCCTCCAATCCTATGGCCCCTCCCCTCTACCCATAAGCTCCACCCATACATTCCACAAACCCCTGCCCATGCATTTTCATTCACACGCCCTAGGGTTTAGCCTTAAGGCCCCATACCCTCAGGCCCCCCCGCCCCCCCCTCCGTCTCATCACCATCACTCGACCCTCAAGCCTCGCCCCTTAGGTAACGCCCCAAATCTCAGGTCCCGCCCTCCATCCTATGACAGCCACAGCCTTAGCCTTCCCTGGGATGCCCTGGCGGGTTGGCCGACCGGCTGCCAGCCTCACCTTGACTCGGACTCGTACCACCTCTCGCTCCTCCTCCTCAGCTGTCGCCGCCTGGGCTCCCCCGCCGGGCGGGGGCGCTCCGGAGCCAGCCAAGTCCAAAGACCCAGAGGCTGTCGACATCCCGCTGCTGCTAGCCTCAGGGTGACAATTGACAGTTGCCCCCAACCCTGGCGCGCACCCTACAGTGCGGGCTCCCGCAGCCCCACCTTGCGCCGGGGCGCAGGCGCAGAGGGCACTGCGCGACCCTGCCCCCCTACTGCCCCTCCCACCTGGCCCCGGCTGGAGGTCGCCTGTGCACATGCGCCTAGCAGGCTATTGCCAGGAGTCCCGCCCCCAAAAGCCGGACATTTTGCTTCATTTCAGCCAGTGTGCAGGCGCCTACTGAGGCCCCACCTCTCTTCCTCCCGTGGTTTGGCTGTTCTGGCAGTCAATTTCCGGATTCACCTAGATCTGAGTTAAACTGACGACCCGTTCGGGCGAGAGAAGTAGGCGGGGAAAGAGACCTGCTGCGTGATGTTGTCAAGGCTGCACGCCCCGCCCCAAGTTACCTCGCCCCTCTGCTGACAGATGATGTCATCTATTTCAAATACCAGTGGCCCTCGCTTCTTATGAATCCGCTGAACGGAAAAAAAAATTCTTGTTCAAGAGTGTTTTTAAAAATAGTTTACACCCTGACTCAGTAAGGTCATACAAAGAAAAAAATCAAAAATTGTTTACATGTTGTGAAAACTCATGGATCTGTACATTTATGATTTTTGCACTTTATGATTTTGATTTTGTGCACATGCTATACTTCATTAAATTATTTACCCCAAAAAGCGAGTTTTATGCTCTCTGGAAGTCCTAGCTGTTTAAAGTTTGTCTTTGTCTTACTTAATCCTCACCACACATTGTGGTTGGTCCTGTTATTAAACGATGTGTGCCCACTAAATATAGGCTGAATGAATGATTGAACATATCTCACACTCCTCTGAGAAATTTTATGTATGGAAAAATGCAAAGAGACATTCTCCCTACTTAATTGCACAAAAGCCATGTGGTTTGGACAAAATATAGGTTGCCCTTAAAAATGTTATTTCTTTTTTTTTTTTTTTTGTTTTATTTCTTTTTAAAACCTTGGTCACTCTTTGAAAAAATGTTATTTCTAACAAAGGAGTCTTGTAAGATACTAGGACTTAAGCTACTGTTGCAGTGTCATATGGATGATACCCTTAAGATTAACTTTTTAGGCAAGTTTGCAATTCTATTTTGGTATCTTTTAAAATAATATATTGCCTTGGTATTAATATTAAATAGACATCTCTAATTTTTGGAAGGTATAAATAATGGGGTATTTTCTTTGAAAGCCAGAAGAGGGTTATTGGAATGTCCTTTTGTCCCATGTATATGGAGTCAAAAACACCTATGGCACTGCTGGATTTTCTGATGAAAAGGAGTTTGAGAGTCTGCTTCTCATTTAAGTTATCATAGGGTGGGATGAGCAAACCATTAGCTTGGAGTTGATCCTGGGGCATCGGAACACAGGATTTAGATGTATGATGTGGTCAGATGCCATACTCCTGGGGAGAACTTTTTCTTTTATTTATTTATTCATTCTTCCATTCAACAAATACAAAGTATATGCTAGAAAAGCTATATATATATATATTCATTTAATCTGCATAAGAACCCTATGAGGCACTCTGGGAGGCCGAGGCAGGAGGATTGCTTCAGGTCAGGAGTTTCAGACCAGCCTAAGCAAGAGTGAGACCCCGTCTCTACTAAGAATAGAAAAAATTAGCTGGGTGTGGTATGCACCTGCAGTCCCAGCTACTTGGGAGGCTGAGGCAGGAGGATTGCTTGAGCCTAGGAGTCAGTTTGCAGTGAGCTATGATGACGCCGCTGCACTCTAGTCTAGCAACAGAGTGAGACTCTGTCTCAAAAAAATAAATACCAAAAAAACCTAGGAGGCAGTGTCTCAGTTCGTTTTCTGTTGCTATAACCAAATACTCAAGACCGGGTAATTTATAAAGAAAATAAATTTATTTCTTGCAGTTCTGGAGGCTTGGAAGTCCAAGGTCAAGAGGCCACATCTGGTGAGGGCCTTCTTGCTAGTGGGGACTCTCTGAAAGTTGAGGTGGAACAGGGCATCATATGGCAAGGGGGCTGAGATGCTAGCTGAGGTCTCTCTTTCTCCTCTTATAAAGCCACTAATGGCCCACCATTATGACCTCATCTAATCCTAATTACCTCCCAAAGGTCCCACCTCTCAAATACCATAGTTGGATTTCCCATCCTCTTAATACTTTTACAGTGGGGATTAAGTTTCAACTTGAGTTTCAGAGGGGACATTCAAACCATAGCAAGTGAGTATTATTATTATTAGCATTTTACAGATGAGAGCACTGAAGGCCAGGGAGAAACAAGCTCAAGGTCAAAGGGGTAGTAAGTGGCATAGAGATTAGGCAGTGCAATTGATGGAAGTCGGGGCTATACCTCTTGTCATGTCTGAGGAAGAGCAAGGAGGTCAGCAAGCCTTTAACTCGAGCAAATGATGAGGTGAGTGATGGCATATGAGATGAGAAAGTAATAAAGTGAGATCATGCATAGCTTTGACCTTAACAGTGAGGCATTTCTCCAAAGCTATACTGTAGGCTTGAGCAGAGCCAGGATTTGAACTGAAGTCCTATTCTACAGACGTCCCCTGAAGCCAGTCTTTGGGTATCTGTGGTTTTATTATTCATTCTTTGCCATCTCTTCAAAACTCCTGAAGTACCCAATTGTTTTATGACCAAGGGTCTATCAGGTTGATGATAAAGACTGTGGGATGAGTGAGGGGCATCTGTTGGATGAATGATAGGAGGTCTTCAGGGAGAGTAATGGAATCTATAAGGTGGATGATGGCGTCTGTGGGTGAGCAATGGGGTGTATACAGTGAGTGGTGGAGGACTAGTGAGTTGAGAGATGGAATAGTGGGGTAAGTGATAAGGGGTCTGTGGGATGAGAGGTGGACTCTGGGCTGAGTGGTGGTTCTGAAAGGTGAATTATGGGGAGATTATGGGGTTAGTGATGGGGGATCTGTAGGATGAGTGATTGGTGGGTCTATGGGTTTGGTGATGGGGTTGGTAGGGTGAGTGATGTGTAAGCTATAAGATGAGTTATGAGGTTTTCAAAATGAGTGAAGATTCTGGGAGTAATAGTGGCTTGCAGAGTGAGTGATGCAGTTTACAGTGAGCCATGAGGGTCTATGAGGTCAGTTATCGGGTTCCTGTGAGGTGAATAATGGGCAATCTATGGAACAAATGAAAAGGTGTTTGTAGGAAGAGTGATGGGTGTCTTAGGGGTTAATGGTGGGATATGTGGGGTGAGTGATGGGGAGACGTGTGGAATTAGTGATGGAATGTCTGTGGCGTGACTTATCAGAAGCCAAAAGGCTAAGTTATCAGGGTGTGGAAGTGAGTGTTGGTGGCTGTGTGAGATGAGAGATGTGGCATCTGTAGGGTGAGTGATGGGGAGTGTTATGAGCTGAATTGTGTCCCCCCAAATTCATATGTTGAAGCTCTAACGTCAAAGGTGACTGTATTTGGGATAGGATCTTCAAGGACAATTAAGGTTAAGTGAGGTCATAATGGTGAGGCCCTAATCCAACAGGACTGGTGTCCTTATAAGAAGAGGAAGAGGTTGGGCACACTAGCTCATACCTGAAGTCCCAGCCACTCAGGAGGCTGAGGCAGGAGAATCCCTTGAGCCCAGGAGTTTAAGGCTGCCGTCAGCTATGATCCTGCCACTGCACTCCAGCCTGGGTAACAGAGTGAGACCCTGTCAAAAAAAAAAAAAAAAAAAAATGTGGGAGTGGGGAATAGAAGAGGAAAAGGCTGGGCATGGTGGCTCATGCCTGTAATCCTAGCACTCTGGGAGGCCGAGGTGGGCGGACTGCTTGAGGTCAGGGGTTCAAAACCAGCCTGAGCAAGAGTGAGACCCCACCTCTACTATAAATAGAAATTAATTGGCCAACTAATATATATAGAAAAAATTAGCCGGGCATGGTGGCACATGCCTGTAGTCCCAGCTACTCGGGAGGCTGAGGCAGCAGGATTCCTTGAGCCCAGGAGTTTGAGGTTGCTGTGAGCTAGGCTGATGCCACAGCACTCACTCTAGCCCGGGTAACAAAGCCAGACTCTGTCTCAAAAAAAAAGAAAAAGAAACATGAGGGCACGAATGCACAGAGAAAAGGCCATGTGAGGGACACAGCAAGAAGGCATCTATCTACAAGCCAAGGAGAGAGGCCTCAGGAGAAACCAAACCTGCTGACACTTTGACCTTGCACCTTCCAGTCTCCAGAACTGTGAGAAAAGAAATTTCTGTTGTTTGAGTCACCTGATCTGCAGCATTTTGTTATGGAAGCCCTAGATGACTAATGCAGGGGATGGTGAGGGTCTAGGGCAGGGGTCCTCAAACTTTTAAAATAGGGGGCCAGTTCACTGTCCCTCAGACCGTTGGAGGGCTGTTGGAGAGTGTGGCGCACATTCCACACATGTGCACTGTGGGCCCAGGACGAGTCGGCTGCTAAGCAGGACAGGCAGAGGCAGCAAAAACACCCGGCGGGCTGGATAAATGTCCTTGGTGGTCCATGGGCCGTAGTTTGAGGACCCCTGGTCTAGGGGGTTAGTGATGAGGCCTGTGTTAGCTGTGATCAAGGGATAAGAAACTGAGTGATGGGGCCTGTAAGGTGATGGTCATGAGTTACATGATGGGCAGTCTGTGGGGTGAATGATGGGGTCTGTAGGGTGAGTGAAGGTGTCTTTAGGGTAATGAGGGATCTGTAGGTGACTGATACAGTTCTGTGGGGTAAGTGATGAGGGGTCTGTAGGGGCACTGATGTGCTGGTTTGTGAGAGATGGTGGGTTTTTTTTTTTTTTTTTTTTAGACAGAGTCTCGCTTTGTTGCCCAAGCTAGAGTGAGTGCCGTGGCGTCAGCCTAGCTCACAGCAACCTCAAACTCCTGGGCTTAAATAATCCTTCTGCCTCAGCCTCCCGAGTAGCTGGGATTATAGGCATGCGCCACCCTGCCTGGCTAATTTTTTCTATATATATTAGTTGGCCAACTAATTTCTTTCTATTTATAGTAGAGATGGGGTCTCGCTCTTGCTCAGGCTGGTTTCGAACTCCTGACCTCAAGCAATCCGCCCACCTCGACCTTCCAGAGTGCTAGGATTACAGACGTGAGCCATCACGCCCGGCCGAGATGGTGGGTTTGTGAGATGAGTGATGAGGCACCTTGGGGTGAGTGATTGGAGCTCTGTAGGGTCAGTGATGAATGAGTCACTGATACAGTGAGTGATTAGGGGCCAATGAGCCAAATGATGCAGGGGTGGGGTCTATTGGCTGAGTAATGTGTGGTCTGTGGAGCAAGTGGTGTGAATATGTGGGGGCTCTTT